GGGGGGGGCGGAAGCTGCCAGGCCCAGCAGAAGCGAGACTGCACGACTCCAGAGGTGGGGCTGGGAGGGGACAAACACCTGCAGGGCCCCCCCGGCAGGGGTACGGGAGGCTCCGGCCCTGCAGCCCTGTGGAGATGGGGATAAGCGGCCGATGGAGGTCGCAGCCGTTGGAGCTGCTCCTGATGTCCCCAGCCCTGGCACCGGAGGGGGGAGGGGGAGGCGCGGCCTGTACGCACCCGAGGCCTACACTTGCACAGCGGGGAGCAAAGAGGGAGGCGACCGCGGGGCTTTACCTGATCGGACCGCACTCCGAGGCAGCCCCGAGGCCCGGCCGCAGGGTGGGCTCAGCCCCCGATAATAGAGGGGTGTGGGGGGGAACTCCTATTGTAGGGGCAGGGGAGAGGGGCGGAACGCGTGTGCTGGGGGCGGTGTTCCCGGCCGGGGCGGAACTGGAGAGGGGCGCCACCGGAACCGGAAGTGGGAGCGGTGGCGGAGCGGGATGGAGGAGCCCGAGATGCAGCTGAAGGTGAAGAAAGGTCGGAGCGGATCGGAGCGGATCGGGGACGCGGGGGTGGTGGGGCCAGATCGGCTGTGGGGGGCTCCGGTGGCGTTCTGTTGCTCTGTCGCGATAGGGCCACCCACGACAGGGCCTTGCGGTGACAGCAGATGTCGCGATAGATTCCTGTGGGTCGTGAGAGAGGAGGGGGGTGCGATGCGCCACTGGGCAGGCCGCGACAGAGCGCCGTGACGGGGCTGGGGGACGCGTATCGCGACATATCGCGGTGGGTATCGGCCGTATCGTATCTCGCAGTTCTGCTTTTATTCGCATACGCGTTCGGGAGCTGCGGTGAGTGCCACTGTAAGAGCCGCAGTTTGGGAGCGGCTGTGACTGAAACCAAAGCCCTGAGGCAGGGAGGGGGGAAATCGCTTATCCTGAACGCAGCCCTGAATCGGTGCTGCTCGGAGTTGTTCCCCCTGGCTGTGCTGAAGGCGCTCCCCACTTGGTTGCAATCAGACCCCACACGAAACGGGAAGCAATCGCTGAGCTCTGCCTCTCCGTCGTTATTAATTGCTGGGAGCTGTAAGCGTCAATCCAGGAGGAAGGAGGGCTCAGAGCTCCCGCACAGCCCTCAGCCTGCGGAAGTGGCCATTGGCAAGGTGAATCCTGTGAGAAAGCAGCAGGAAAAGCTGCTTTTTAGTTACTTTTAGGACATCTCTTGGGGCTGGCGTGTGGGGGAAGAGGCAGAAGGACCCCAAAGCGGGAGGTTCACCGGCCCTCTGCTGCTCCCTCCCATCTCTAGGCCAGCTCAGGTTGCTCAGAAAAGGCGCAAGCAGTTCCAACCCCAGGCCAACCCCAGCTGGTGTGGAGCTGTTGGGCCAGCAGTGTCCCAAGGTGATGCTTCCATCTGGTGCTGAGCTCATTGCATGTGCAGTGACATGGAGAGTGCAAAGTGAACCACCTGTGTAATGCTGCTTTCCTACCGTGTCCTGGTTAACATTTCATGGTTAATAGCTAGAATATTTGGGCTTTTACTCTGATCTGTGGCACGTTGAAACTTGGAGCCTTTTGTCAGAAGGCTGCTGTGCTGTGGGAGGTGCTGTGGGCTCTCTGAACCCCACGTCTTCCAGAGACACCTTGAGAGATGGCACCCAAGGGAGCCCTTCCAGCCCCACGTTCCTCCCATTGCTCCCCACCTCCTGTGACTCTGTTGTTTCCCTTTCTGCAGTTACAGACAAATTCACAGAGAGCATGTATGTGCTGGCCAATGAGCCCTCCGTGGCCCTGTACCGGCTCCAGGAACACGTCCGGCGATCGCTTCCAGAGCTCGCTCAGCACAAGGTGAGTTGAGCTCACCAACCCCGAGACAGTCAGACCAGAGCTGTTCTCCTGAGCTGCCACCTTGTTCCTATCTCACCGCCTCGGGAAGGAAATCAGCCATTGGGGCACAGGCACCGTGTGGGAGGTGCTAAGGGACCCCGTTTGGCCCACACTGGGGGGGCTGAGGGGGGATCTTCACGTTCACTTGCAGATCTGGGGTAAAACTTGCATGGCCGAGCACATCCCTGAGCTCCCAGTGCTGGATGTGTGTGTGGAGACAAAGAAAAACGACTCTTGTGCAGGGAAGGGGGGAGGAGGAGGCAGACGTTAAATCTTATTACCCCTGACTACACTGCAAGATTTTTATTTCCTACATAAAATAAGGAGGAGGGTGAGAGGAGGGAAGGGGGAGTGGGAAGAAACAAGTGAGAAGAGCCCACACAAGGAAAGGCAGGATAATGAATCGCATCTCACAGCTGTGTTCCTACTTTCCTCCAGAGCACGGAGCAGAGACACTTTAATGCCAGCCTTGTTGTCCTTCTCCCTCTTCTGCCAGTCATGATTCATTAGGAGTGATGTCTCATGAATAGATTACTGCTTCATGTCTATGCTAATGCACTGTCAGGCCTCATTTTTCACCTTTGCTTTACAGCCCTAGTTTCCAAATTAACCTGGATTGTGACACTTTATTATTCAATTATTTATTAACATTTTATATACGTGTCTGTGTGCAAGGGTAGGTATATAGAGATGTATATGTATGTATGGCACACGCTGATGCGATTGCATCACTGGGATGCAGGAGACAGGTTTATAAAATTATTCCTGAGCTGTCACTTGCTTTCATTTAATCAAGATAGCCCCGGTTTCAGGGAATGTGTCTGGAACAAAAGGAAATTGAACAAATTGTATGACAAGTCATGCAGAGGGAAGAGATCAGTTTCCATCACCGAGTGGTTTATAACAGGGAGGAGGGTGAAGGGCAGCACAGAAGCACAAATGGAAGCAGCAGCCAAGTGAACAAGCTGGACACTGTGCTGGTTGTTAGACATGGGGTTTGTGCTGAACAAGATCTCTGAAAATCTTTGCTGCTTTCATTTTTCTTGCTAGGCATTCTCCTCAGTCTCAGCTGGTTACAGCCATCCTGGAGAAGTCTTTTTTTTAGCCAAAATTGCTTCTATTTTCCACTTTCTTCTCATAAGAAAGATTTTGCAGTCCTGGGGATGCCAGCAGCAAATATGAGGACACAGTGTGTCCCCATGTGACTGCAGCCATCAGATGCCTTTGATACCTTCGTGTCCAGCCTCACAGCATCTGTCCTGCCCTGGGTGCAGGCCCTTACAGGAGGAGGAGCTCTGTGTGCTCCCTGCAGTAGTGGTGCTCTGTCAGGTCAAGGTTGAATGCAGTGCTCGTTGTCCTCTGCTTTAGGGCTGCCCCAGCACCACCCCAATCTCGCCGTCCCCCTCTAATGTTGGGAACATCCTCCTAATACTGCCTCAAAGATGCTGCTGTTTTTATCCATTTCTTTGTGACCACCTCATGGGCACTTCCAGCTTTCAACTGCATTCCTTTGTGTTTAGCAATGCATTGACGTGGTAAGGGCTGGGGGAAAATGGAAAGCAGATTCTTTCTCGCAGCTTAAACAACAGTAGATGGAACTGCTGGTGGTGCCTCCTCCAGCCTCTCAGCCCCCACGTTCATTCTTCCAAGGCTGCAGTGCCATGTTTGGGAGTGTGCTCTCCTCCCTGCAGGTATCTGGCATCCTGACCACGCTGCCAGGCTGCTGATGCTGGAATTGTGGTCAGGTTCTTTCTCTTGCAATTCATCCCGCTCTCATTTTCCTTGCTGTCTGCAGCAAACCAGGCAGCCAAGCCCCCAGGAGAGAGGTGTGCTCAGTGCCCTGATGGGGCCACCGGCAGTGTGGAGCATTGATTGGTGGGGATGGATATTTTGGGTTGCTCTGCTGAAGCCCATCGGCTCTGTTCCAAGATACTGGAACAGGAAAGTGTCAGCAGGGCTGCGCACCGTGAAAGCACTGTCAGGTTTTATCTAAATCAGAGCAAAGGCACTGAATTAAGGTGGGTTTAATTCCTCAGAATGGAAAAGAAGAAAAAGGAGTGTTCTGCCTGGATCCATTCTCTTGTAATTTAGTCCCAAGGTGCAAGTAATGTATAAAGGAAACAGGATTTATTGGTGGTTTCCAGCTTTGCTTTCAGCCTTGCAGCAGCTCTGTCCACGGTTGGCACAGTTCTCCTGAAATGCAGCTTTTACAATTCCTGAGGAGATTAAACCTAGGAAAAATGAGCTGGGGGGTGGAGGGGGAAGTAAGCAAGAAGAAGGTCACCTCCATGTCTTTACAACAAGCAACTTTCTTGGATTTGATTAAAAATAATCTTAATACCTTCCTTACCGTCTCAGACTCTCCAGGCAGATTCAGCCCCTTGCTGATAAGATGGAGCACAATGCAGGGCCCTCACTGCCTCCACGTGTCGGAGCTGTGCTGCTAAGCTCTGCTCTGCACAAAGCTGCCTTTCTGGATTTCCCCTGATCTTTTGAGAACTTACATCTCCTCATTAATTTACTGCTAAGCAACAGTAATATATCCTTAGTATATTAATAGCTGGCTTTAGTTCTTAAACTGCATCCAAAGGCACCTCTTGGGAATTTGAAGGAAGGACGTTAAGAAAAGTTGAAGAGCTTTAGGGAAAGGCTTTTGTTGCTAATTAATGGCACAGCATTCCTAGGAAGTAGAGGGAATGCTGAGAATGGACATCACTGGCACTGATGCTGGGGAATTAATAAAATCTGCTTGTGCTCAGGGCCATGGGCAAGTGACTGTATTGTTTCCACCTTTTCAGTGGAGCTTTGCAGCCACCATCTCTGGCTTCCCAGTTTTACAGCCGTGCCCTCATCCTGCACTGGGCTTTGGGAGCTGACAGGCAGTCCTTGAAACTGTCCAGAGGCCGTGCTGCTGCTGGAGGAAATGGTTGGTAGGGGGGGGTCACCTGCCATTGGTGGCACAGAGCTTTCAGCAGGGCAGGGAGAGTGCTGAGCTGCTGTGGTGACTGAGCCAGCGCGATGCTGGGCTCTAAATGGTTGCTAAAGATCATCTGGCACCTCTTGGGCAGAACAGGCCGCAAAGCTGCAGGACGTAGCTGCCTCTTTCAGCTGCCTCTGCTCGCAAAGCCTGTGTTCAGCAACAGATTATGGTCAGGTAAAAGGTGATTGGGCTCTGGGATAAGTGTGAACTCTGCAGGGCAGCTTGTGGGGTTGTGAGTCGGGTGGGAGGACCCTGCAGGGAGCTGCCTGCAGTGTTGCATGTAGAGGCTTGTTTCTTTTGTAGCCATGTGGTCAAGCGTCCCGATGTAGGACAGGCTTTGAACAGACAGAAGTGATTTTGGATGCACTCCAAGCTCCCAGCCGACCTCCTTCAGTCACAAAAAGAGGCCCTTGCGTTTTCTTTGGCTTGTAACTAGACCCAGCAGAATAGACTTGAGAATGAGCTCCCATGAGAACATATTTTAAAAAGTGCCCAAACTACTTGAGCACTTTTGAAATGGTTATCTATGGAGCAACACCTCTGAATTCAGCTATGCTTTCATTGTGATTGGTACATGCATTTGGTTTTCCCTCTCCTTGGAGAGGAAAATTGCATCCCATGCCAGAACTGCCTGCATGTAGTTGAGTTGCTGTGAAGTTTACAGGGCTCCTTCCGAGCTCATGAAAGGAAGGGCACAGTGCTGACTGCTCCTTGGGGTCAGAGTTTCAGAGCAGGCTAGAGGAGGCTTCTGGCTGTGATAATGGTTACAAATAGCAAGCAGAATGGAATGAGAGCTTTCAGTGCTGTTTTACCTGGTTTTGCACGAGGAGCTGAGCACTGGACTCAGCAAGAGGTGCGTTGGGCCAGGCACACCAGGGGATCTGGGCATTCTGGCACTCTGTGGCATTGCTGGCTGCTTGCAGCCAGCCTCATTGCAGCTCCCAGCTGGCTCATGGCTACATCTGAAAACAAGGAGAATTTTGCCAGTGCATCCCAAGTGTTGGCTCCAACCCGTAGCCCTTCCAGATAAATGTTTCTTTCCAATTCGAGTGCTTGGCACCCGGAGCCAAGCATCACAGGCTGTCAAACAGTAGGCAGAATCCAAACACAGCTTCCTAGTGAAAAGCAGCCAGAGCCCTCATTTGTGCAGAGCTGGCAGAGTGCATCACTGTGAGCTGCGTCGTTGAGTGCACACCTCACACTGCCCTCTTGTTTCTTTCAGTCTGACATGCAGAGCTGGGAGGAGCAGAGCCAAGGAGCCATCTACACCGTGGAGTATGCCTGCAGGTACTGCAGACTCACCCAGTCACAGGGCTGCATTCGCCAGCACAGGCTTTGTAGTAGAAGCAGAGCAGAGGTCCCCTGTTCTTCCTTGATGGCTTCCTGTGTGAGCCAGGGAGAAAGCAGTCAGGTGGGGGTGTGAGGGTGCAGGGCAGAGCTCCCAGAGCCTCGAGGCTTTCCCTTGGCTGAGCACACCAGCTCTTCCCCACCTGAGCCTGCAGCGCAGTCCTGCCCGTCTCCTGCAGTGGATCCACTCACTAACCAGCAGGTATCTGAAGATGTGTAGCACTGTTAGTCTGAGGATATGCTCACCAGTCCTCCTCTCTCTTTCAGTGCCATCAAGAGCATGACTGACAGCAGCGTGTACTTCAGGAGCATTGACAGTCTGCTCAAGCATGCCATTGCCATGAAGGATCAGCTGAACGCCGCTCAGGGCCGCAGGTAGCAAGGCACTGTGACACTGCCCTGCTTATTCATCAGTGACCCTTTTGCCTGACAGAGGCTTTGGTGATGTAATGCAGCCCAGAACAAACATGCCCAGCAGTTATTTCAGTAATGTCATGCCAGACTATTATTTAAAACAGTGTGCTGCTTGCCTTCCAGTGATCTTTGTTTACCAGGAGAAGCAAATAATCTAATTCACAGAAAGAGATAAGTGGAAAATAATTTATTGCCTTCTTTAAATAGGGATGTTTGGTTCTGTAATACACTAAAGCTTTGTGTTAAAGGCACTTGCAGTGATGCTACTGAGATGGAACAGGTCAGAGGCTGCCCTTGGTGCTGCTCTCTGTCATGCATTTGGCTCTTTCCCTGAGGGAAGTCCCATAGAGATTAGTGGTGCTGGCAGATACAGCACAAAGGTTGTGTTCTTGTGTTTTGCAGTTGAATTACAGCTACTAAAACATCTTCCAGCAGATCATCTGAGTCCAGTTTATTTGTCTCCTGAGAACTGTGTTGGTATTGGAGTCTGACTGGTTAGGAGTGAGAAAACTCCCAGGCACCCATGCTCACCACAAACAGTTTTAAATGTCCATCCCTGATAAAACCACCACAGCAAACAAAGTGCCTCTGTCTGCAGAATGACTCTGCTTTACACATCTCTGGTACGGGTTCTGTATTCTCCCAGTTGCCCGTGCAGCAGGGTCATGCTGTCCAGCACTTACAGTGCATTTTGCTGGGTTGCTTTTATTTTTTTTTGTGGTGCTGTGGCTTTAAAGACCGTTCTCTTAACACCCACGGTGGCTGGTGTGTGCTGCTGCGTTGTCTGCGTGGAGCACTGAAAGGTGTTCTTGTCTAAGCAGCTCCTCTGCTGCGAGCAGTGAACTTTTACAGGAGGGAACCCCTGGTTCTTCATGTTCTCGTGGCTGCTGATGTCCTGCTGCTGGATGTGACTGTCTGTTTCTTTTTACAGCGCTGTTGCCCCACAAGCCAAGAATCCTCCAGGCAGTTCCTGATTGCAAACAAGACTGGCTGTGCTCTGCCTTCTTCTCCAGCCCAGCTCCGCGTTTTCTGACCATATGGAGGAATAAGAAACCTGCTCAGTCTGTGAAGTTGCACAGAGGCCTGTGCCTGCCTGTCTGTTCCCAGTAACAAGGTGCTGCACCTGAGCAGTAAAAACCCTGCCACTGGGGTCAGAGCTGCCTTTGGGGGATGCTTTGGGGAGCAGTCGTATCCCTTTCCACAGTGGGAATGGAAATGGGGTGGTTCTGCATTTGTCCTTTCCAGTTCTTTTTGATGGCGGACTGCTAGGAGGCATTTTTCCTCTCTAACCGTTGGCCACAGAAATATCTCAGAAAAAAACTAGGTCTTCTTTCAGTATTTTGTAGATGGCTGTGTCCAGACTGAATGGAGGCACACTTCAGCCTTGTTCAGGGGGTGTTCTGCAAGGAGAGCTTTTCGTGTGTGTGCCAAAGAGTCGCTGAGTTTGGTCTTGGTGAGAACAATAATAAAAGGGAAAAACAAGTTTGTTCTGTCTCAGACCTTCCCCTCTTGCTTGCTCGGGCTGGGGGGTCTTGCAGCCTGCTGGTTCTGTGTATTTCAAAGGGCACAGAGCAAAACAAAGACATGCAGAGTTGGAGCCTTTTCAAGTGAGAAAGAAACTCTCCTGTTCTTTGGGAAGAAAAAAGAAAAGGACTTTCTTCATTCTGTGTCATGCAGTGTTAATCTCTCTTGGAACCAACAGTTCTGTTCTGCTGAAGAATTTACCAAGGATACAGGGATCAAAGCAGTGCTAGACTTCCAAAAAAGTGCTGTGTATTGTGCTCAGAGTAACAGGTGTCTGTGAGGATAACATGGAAGGTGAGGGGGAATCTGGGTCAGCGGCCTTCCTTCACTCCCTGAAATGCTTTACAGATTGCTGGATGATGAGGATGTGGGGAGGATCCAAGCACGTAGCTTTAGTAACTGTGAGCTGAACCCACTCATTTTCAACAGGAGCAGCAGTTGCACTTGTGCATTCTGCCCTGCAGACAGCAGAGAACCACCAGCACAGCCCTTCCTGCGCCACAGGTCTCAGCACTGACAATTGGCACCGTCCTTAGGTGACATCCAGGTGATCCCCAGCAAGGTTTTCCCACTGAACACAGGATAGGCAGCTCCCATGTCCTGCCCAGAGGGTTGAGGTGCTGGTGACTGAGGGAATAGAGGAGGCAATGGAAGGGGAGAGGGGCATGGCCAGCCAGAGAAACTAGCTGGGGTTGCTGGGGAAGGAGGGTAGGTGTGCTCCTGGACAAAGTCCTCTCAGCCCTCACACGTGTTGCCACTTCCTTCGCTGCTGCTCAGTGCCCTGCAGAGATGGGACAGTCCTGCTCGAGCCTTTCCCTGCCCCTGCTGTCTTGTTTGCAGGGAGACAAGTGCCAGCAGCACTGCAGGAGGGGCTTCTCAGCAAAGAAAACCTGTGGCTGTGGCTGCACAGGCCCATGCAGCATCCTCAGAGCAGGAGGGCAGAGGGTGGAAAATCAGCCATCCCGACCTCATGAGGGATCGTTGACACTTGGGCTGTGACGTGACCTATATTAAGCTCTAAACAGAGATGCAGATCTTGGCTATGGCTCCTGCAGTTCTGCTGTGATGAGATGGACATTCCACTCACACCAGGGTCGAGTCCTTGCCCGAGGCTCCAGGTTTGCGTGCCAGCACATTCCTCATCTCCTGGGTGACGCCGTTCCAGGGCTTGCCCTGTGCCTGCAGCAAGGCTGACTCTGCTGACAGCGTCCTGTGTGTGCGGGGCAGGTGGTAGCTCTCCTTCTCAGAGCGTGCCCCAGGGCTGCCCGAGGAGGTGAGATTGCTGCTGGCCGGAGAGCCCAGCTGAGATTTGCGCTCCAGGAACGGAGGGAAGGAGAATTCCCGATGGATCTCAGGCCGGGGCCGGGGCACAGGGATGCTCTTGTTGTTCAGATTGCTGCCGGGAGTTTCGCTGTGCTGGGCAGAGTCGTTCTCATACAGAGTGTGAGAGATTTCGGAGTGGCTGTGTGACAGCTGGGAGGCGCGGACCAGGGCGTGCGTCACCGTCACCAACAGCACGATGATGCCAGAGGAGAGGATGCAGGCGCTGGCGATGCCAGCCTCGAGTTCAAACAGCAGCAGCATGTAGATGGCAAGAGCTGGAAGGGGGAGTGCAGCACACCGTGAGGAACCAGATGGATTCAAGCGATGCATCTGACCTGCAAAGTTCAGGCCAGAGCTGCCCCGTGGGGGCTGCTCACCAAGAGAAGAAAGTTCACGCTGCGGCTGATGCTATTTGCAAAGCAAACCTGATGCTTTGGTGGAAATGCAGCAGCTCACAAGCAATCAGCATCTAGAGAGAGGCCTGGGCTGGGCACAGTCCCTGCCTTCCCCCCGCAGCAGGCTGTGTTTGTGGGCAGCGAGCACTTACCTGTCAGATAGACTGAGACCCCGCAGCAGAACAAGCCGATGGCTGCGTGGCGAACAGTCCGGCTGTCCAGGAGGAACCAGTCTGCCCTGCAAAACGGGACAGAAACACTTTGCTGAGATGGGGCTGCATTGTCTCCTGGCCCCTGCTGAGGAACTGAAATGCTGCTTTTGCGTGGAGAAGTTCAGGGCTGAGTCTTTCCCCTGTGCTGCACAGCTCTGCATGATCTGTTCCCGCTCTGGAACAGGATTTGGAGATGCCTGATTCTGGCTGTGCTTTGGAAAGCAGGTAGGGCAGACAGGAGAGATTCAAGCGGCTCAGGGCTCTCTGCAGGTGATTTGTCCTGTTCAGCAAACCTTGTAGAGCAAGCAAGGAACAAAAGTGAGGCCTCATGCCCATCTCCCCCTTAAAGAAAGAGTGAAAAGCAAAGTGCTGGTGCACTAAATTTAGCAAGGCCAGGTTGTCTTTGCAGCCTCGGGAGTGGATTTCTTTGCTCAGCTCAGATTGCGAGCCCTTTGTCTGGAGGGGGTGCCGTTGTTTGAATCGTTCCTAAACCACAGGAGAAGAACAGCTCGTTTCCTGCAGGGCCCTCCTTTCCATGGGCGCACAGAGCATCACAGATTCTGCAGCACCTCCAGAAGCCCTGGGGCCCATTGGAAGGACACGGGACCCGCAGCTCAGCATGGCACGACTGTCCCGGCAGGACCAGCCCTCTTCCGCGGCAGCCGGCTCCCTCCACCCCATGGGACAAATGCAGCAGCCAAGGGACGCTGCGCCCTGTCCCCATTTCCTCCCCGAGTCCCCCAGCACGATGCCCTCCTCCTGGGCCTGCTGCAGCCAGGAGCCGTTAATGGAGCCTGAACCCGCTGCCCGGCGAGGAAGAGCAGCCGCTTTGTTTTCTTAATTACCTGAGTCGGGAGGGATTAGCGGGGAGGAGAAGGACTTTGTTTGGAGCTGGCTCGGACTATTGAGCGCAGCGCTGAGAAGCGGAGCGGTAATTCAGTGTGACAGCCCCAACGTGGGAAAGGTCCCTGGGACGTGAGCTGGTCCCCTAATGAAACCAGCGCCCGGTGGGGCCACGGAGAGATGGCAGCAAACGGCATCACAGGGAGAGGGGCTGCATCCCAGCACCTCCTGCCCCAGGCTGCCTCTCTTCCTCCCAAAACACAGCGTAACCCTCAGCTCACAGCTGGGAAAACGAGGCGCTGCCCGACCCATCCCAGGCAGAGGGATGTGGAGCTGGGACTCCCGACCTGCTCCTTGCAAGCTCCCTCCTGCCAAAGCCTTGCACTGCCAGCAGCAAAGCCAAAAGCAGCCTCTCACTGCATGGGGACACAGGAGAAGAGCACGGAAGCATCATATAAAGTCAAATTGTTTGGAAACAGCTTTGGGGAGCTCCAACCCAGCCGTGGAGCAGGTTGCCGCCCTCACACTGTGTCTGTGTGACCTCCATCGCTGCTGCTCAGTGCTCAGCCTGCCTCACACCCGAGGCTTCCACAGAAGAATTGCACAACCTGGAAAATGAGCATTTTCCAGCCCAAATGAATACAAAATCTCAAACAAATTCACAGCCAATGGGTGGATTTTCCGCTGTAAGCAAGGTTTACTCTGGGAATCTTCACTAATGAGCACGTGGAGCTGCAGCATCACTTGGAAGCCACCAGAGACTTGCTGGAGCTGCTGCACGAAATGTGAGACACTCAAAGTTTTGCCAGATCCTGTTGCTTCCTCTAAGCTGAGTTGTGACTTGCTCACAACGGTCCCAAAATGGCCCTGCAGGAACCACCATGGGAGCCACATGAAGGGACCAACTTCCAGTGAGCTGCATTTCACTGCCATCATTTGCATGCTGCTTTTATTTTTGGTTCACCCAGGAGCCACCGACCAAAGCCAGGTCATGGTTGAGGAAGCAGATTGGAACTAATTGCATTGGAAACAGTTCTGCAAGTGTAAACGTGCTGTAATGATTAAGTCAGCACACGTCTGCTGGTCACCAAACGTGGGTCTGTGGTCACCTGGCAGTCACCACTGTGGCAAGGGACAAACATGGGTGGCTCCAGGTGCAGACACAGCACGAGGGCTGGGATCACCCAGGGATGCTCTTGGGTAACTCCATAGGGTGCAGCAGCTGTGAGCTCATCAGTGCAGTCACTACGTGCAGCTAATGAAGGAGGCAAATTTACAGCCCAGGGGTGGATCAGCCAGAGGTAACCCCGCTTCATGGGAGGGCACAGCAGGGAGGAATTTGGGCTATCACTGCCCAGCGTTCACCCAAACCCAGAGCGGTCCAACCCTTGCAGTCCCCTCTGCTCGCCCTCCCCAGGGAGGGGCCAATATCGCGGGGGGAAAGAGGAGTGGCGAGACCCCTCCGAGCTCCCTCTGCATCCCTGGGGGTCCAGAGCACCCCGGTGCCCCCCACACCTTCCAGTCCCCAGTGCTCCCCCCTCCCCACCGCGGTGCCCCCCGCTCTCACCGCTCGGGCCCGGGCTGCCCCCGGCACAGCTCCGTGCTGAAGTAGCCGTGGAGGAGGCAGAGGAGGAGGCAGCTCACGTTGAGCACGAGGCAGAGCGCGGCCAGCACGGCCGACACCGGCAGCAAAACGGCGGCCGCGGATTCCGGCAGCGCTCCTCGAACGGCACCGGGACCGCTTCCGAGAGCGGTCCGACCCGCCGGCAGCTGGAAGATGAGGCTGGAAGCGAGCAGGGCCATGGCGGCGGACAGCGTGCCGAAGAGCAGGAGCACCGTCAGGGTCCGCTGCGGGTAGGAGGGCATGGCGGGGCCGGCACCGAGAACCAGAGGGCGCTGGGCAGCGCCGGAGAAGCCGCGCGCACCTCCGCTTCGACCCGGAATCGAGCGCTGAACCCCGGGAGCGCCGCTTTCCTCCGCGCAGCGCTGCCCAGACGGGGCGGTCCTGCCCGTCCTGTCCCCGGACCTCCCCACCACGACCGGACCCCCCCCGCCCCGGGCAACGCGGAGCGGCTCCGCCTGCGTCCCACCCAGGGACGGGAGGGTGGAGGAAAGGGGCAGGAACGGGGTGGGGGCTCCGGGGACGGACGCGGGGACAGATGGACAGGTGGGGGCTGGCCGTACTCCACCAGTACCCCACAGGTCCCCCCCCGCTCGCCCCTTTCCCACGCAGCTCCTGGAAATCCCTACCGGCCGTGAGCCACCCCGCTGCTCCGCGTCGAGGAAGGGGACGTCGGCCCCGGGGAGGTGCGTTTGACTTCAGCTTCTGCGTAAATTAGGAGTGAACGGCCGAAACGCGTCCCCGTGAGGCTGAGAAAGGACCTCCGGAACTCGGGGCCGGCCCAACTTTCCCGTGCTTTATAAATATCCTGGGAAGCAGAAGCTCCTCTTCCCCTGGGAATGGCTGGGAATTGCCCTTGGCAACACAATCCCTCGGGGGGGGGGGGAGGGGGGGGGTGATAGCACTGAGCAACCCCCCCCAACCCCATTCGGCACACCCATGAATTTGGAAAAATTCACTCTGCAGATCCCCTTTTATTTTGGGAATGCACTCAGGAACAGAGGGGAAACTGAGGCAGAGGTTCCCTGCTCAAACCCTCAGCCCCCAGAGCAGCCGTTTCCCACCTGTATGGGACAAGGGCAACATCAGGGCTGTGCCTTTCCGTGCACATCCCATGCGCCGTGCCAGGGCCACCATGAGGACACGGATGGGATATGCCTCCAGTTCCTTCCAGCCCGGTGTCATCAGCGTTTGGGCCCATGCCCAGCCCAGCTGTGGGATCCGGGATGGGCGACCTTTCCATCAGAGCCGCCTGTCCCGCGTGGGTGGTTCCTGCTGGCACCCTCTGCTCCGGAGCCACACGGGACATGGGGCTATTTTGAACGCTGGCGTTGTTGGCCTTGGCAGGCAGTGATGGTTTGACTCTCTGCTCATTTCCAGCCCCGCTTGCATTTTTGGCTGTGGGGGATGGAGGTCCCCAAGCCCGCATCCCTGGCATTTGGCTCAGGGTCCCCAAATCAGCCCCCAGTGCCAGTGCCCCTATCACCTCTGAGTGGCTGCGTCACTTGGGGCACAGCTCAGGTCCCCCCAAACCCCTGGATTTGGGGGCAGGAAGGGCCTCCAGAGGGAGCTCAAAGCTTTTGAGCCTCGAGCTTGCTGGCAGCAGCCAACCAGAGCCTGGACAACCCCTGTGCACCCCCTGACCCCAGGGACAGTCCCACACTCAAAGAGGGGGCTCAGCTGGAAGCAGCCCTAGGCCAAGCCAAGCCCCTGGAGACCACAAGGTGAAGGAAGGGTCAGGGAGGTCTGATGCTCTGAGCAGACAAGAGGCCACCTCGTGTGTCCCTGCCCTGCAGCCGGGGCAGGAGGAGACAGCTGGGGACAGCTGGACACGTTGGTGCAGGATGCTGCTCTCCTGATGCGCCTGCACTCCTGCTCTCCCTCCCACCTCCTCTCCAGGATCAATTAAGATTATGAGCAGGGCTAATTAACAGTCTGCTAATTGCACTCTGAAGCCCTCTATAACTCATGAGCTTTAAATGCAGCTCTGAGAAAGATGTCGTGTCCTTTCTGCCTGCACAAACCCCACAGAAAGTCTGATCCAGGGAGCCACTTCCCTCCAGCCCCACAGCTCAGGGACTGGGGCCGGCACAGCAGGGTGCAAGGACACGTCCCCTCCTGGGGAGCTCATTTCCATCCAGTTCTTTCCCACCTGCTGCCTGGGCACGTGAATTCAGAGTTGCATCAGTTCCGTGCTATAAACACAGCTGCTCCCAATGGGACGAGCAGCTCCCGGGCAGGCAGTGCCCTCCTCGCTGGGGCTGATCTGAGGGTTTGGATGCACAGTCCCAACACATCAGTGTCCCCCAAAACCCAGGACTGCCCACTGCGTTGTCACCACGTGATGCAGCAGCATCTCACTTTTGCTCTGCACCCTCACCGGTTTGGAGTTGCAGCATCCACAAACACGTGCATTCTCCTCTCCCTGCTCGAGGTGACTCCACTGCACGCTGTGTGCCCGCCCTGGGGACAGTGCCAGGAAATCACAGCTGGGCTCTCCATGTCACCAGGGCCTGACCCCCCCTTGCACTGAGTGGGAACGGTGGCCGTGGGGTTTGCAGTGCGCACTGCACTGCGCTTTGCTTTGCTCAAAGGCCACAGGGTGCACATCGAGGTTCCTCTCAGCTCAGCTCTCAGCTCTCAGTACCCAGAGCTTCCTTGCCACCTCCCTCATGTTATGTCACTGTGGTTCACCGGCCCCCGCCTCGGTTTCCACGACCGCTCACTGCAGGGCGGCCTCATGACGAGCGAATGGTCCCTGAGCTGAGCAAAGCCACTGGCTGCTCTGCATGCTGTAGCACCGAGGGGAGCCCTCGCAGGGTGAAACGTGTAGGAAACAGAAACGTTTGTAATCAGAAGAGATCAAAAAAGAGATTGTTGCTGTTTAGCTGCAGAGCTTCCGAGCCGATGAGGTTTCTTTGTGACACGGGGGGCCGGGGTGCGGGCACTCCCAACCCTTTAGCAGATGGGCTGGCGATGCTGGGGGAGCCCTAACCCTGTGCCCTCAGCCTGCTCCTTTCAGTGAGGACAGGACCACCCCCGGGACCCCCGTAGCTCTCAGATTCCCACCGACTCGCTCTCCAAACCCCATAACCTCACTTTTATCGCATCCCTCCCCCATGGCTGCACCCCCCAGCGCCCCAAGCCCTGACCCCATCCTCGGGGCACAGCTCGCGCCCTTAGCCCCGCCCCTTTCCCTGAAATGGGCGTGGTTTGCAAACCGGCCCCGCCACAGCAGCCAATAGCGAGCGAGCCCGGCAGCACTATGCAAATTTCTCCGCGCGGGGGGGCGGGGCTATGCAAATGTTTCCGTGCGGCTGGAGCAGGCAGCGGGCAGCGCGCGGCTCCCGGGAGCGCACCGGCACCGGACCGGCACCGGAACCCGACGGCGGCGGGGCCGCACCGGGCCGGGCCGGCTCCGCTGCAGCGCCAGGCACCCGCGGCCGTGCCGGCGGAGACTTACCAAGGAGAAGGAGTCGGTGTCCAGGTGAGTGTCCCGGGCGGAGAGATGGGGTCCCGTGCGCACGGGGGCTCCGAGCTGCCCCGACCCCCCGGTGGGGAACACGGGATCGGCCGCTGAGCCGGTGGCTGGCACCGGAGTGCGTGAGGGGGAGATCGGGCAGCGCTCCCCCAGCCCCGTGCCTCGGCGGGACCCTTCGGTGCCGGCTGCCCCGCGGCGGGCGCCCCGTCGGAGCGCACGGGCCGGGGGAGGGGGGCACCGTCTGGTGCGGGGTGCGGGGCGGTGCGGTGCGGCCGGGACGGCGCCCTGCGGGCTGCCCTGAGCACGGCGGAGCCTCGGCCCCCGCCCCGCCGTCTAGGGATGGCGGGCTATAAAAAGCCTGTGGTTTGCGCCGCGCTCCGGCCGGTTATTTTTACTCGTGTCTGCGCACAGAGGAACGCCTGGGTTTAACCCAAAAGTGCAGCCTGGCGGGCAGCCGCTCTGCCCGGCACTACGGATGCCTCCCCCGGGTCCCAGGCCTTGGGGTGGTGGGACTGAACCCGCTGTGCTGTGGGGAAACTGAGGCACGGCACAGCCCGGCTCGGAACAGACAGCCCAACCTGGGCTTGATCTCCCCATGGCTCTGCTGGGATCATGTGCTGGTCTGGCACTGAACTGGAGCTTGGTTACTTTATTGCTCCTGAGCAGAGATGTGTCCCATCCACGGCTCTGTCCTGTCCACATGTGGCATTTCCAGTGTGTCCCTCTCACATAAGCATCTCCATCGCTGCAGGGACAGCAGGGTGCATCCCCTTCCAAGCCCTCTGCCTGCTGCAGCCGACTGCCAACAAGTCCCCATCCCTGGGGCTTCACTCTTTTAATGAGGGAAAGTTTCCCAGAGCTGTTGGGATGGAGTTTTGCAGGTAATGAATTAAGGTGACAGTCAGCAGGTGAGCTGTAAGGCAGTGATGGGCCGAGCACCATCAGTCCATGTGCATCCTCTGGCAGGTGGGCTGCTGCCCTGCTGGGAAGGGAACATGGCTGAGCAGAGCAGGGAGCCAACTGCTGGCCTTGCCCCTTGTTCCTAACTGCAACCTGGACAAGTCATGCAGGCCAGGGGAAAACCTGTGCAGCTCAGGATGTGGGATCTGGGACGTAGATGCAGGCCCTTGGCTTGATTTTAGGATTTGATTTTAGGTCAGACTCACTAAGCCACGATGGGGTGATGTGAGCCCAGGAGCGGGGCGAGGATTGCTCTGTTTAAGACCCTTGAATTTCACTCCTCTTCACAGCAGGCTGCCAGGAGCAAACCAGGTTTGTGCAGCACACATGAGGGTGGGCTCAGCCATCACCATCTCATGGCTGCCCCAGCAAGCCGTCCAGCAGCAAGCAGACGTCATTTCCCATACTGACACTCAGTTGTAGCACGGGGCGACCCAGCTCTGCAGCAACAGAGTGCTCCTGCTGCGGGCAGCACCGCCAGCACCGAGCGGAAAGGGTGGCCTGGATCCCAGAGGGGGTTTGGATGCCTGTCTGCCTTCCCAAAGAGAAGAGTTGCCTCAGTGTGGGGGTCATTGCCATCCTTCCTCGTTCCACACAGTCATTTCAGAACCAAACAGCCTCCACCCAGTGCTGCACCTCGCTCAGCGGGGCCGGGCGCTGCTGGGACTTTCGCTCTGCGTCACCCCAGTGAGGCCACATCCCCCAGCCCCAGCCTGGATGTGACTCTGGAGGGATGCAGGGGCAGTGCCATTGCCCAGCCTGGTGCTGCAGCAGCGGGCAGAAGCATGAAATTCTAATTGCCCCCAGGGATTTTTCTGCACGGTGACGGGGCGATGCTCGACATGGCTGCGTTTTGAGGCTCTATTGATTGTGTGCGTGTATGTGAGATAGGGAAGAAGCTGCTGGGACCCCTTGTCCCCACACCCCCGTGCCCCCAGGTGCCCCCCTGTCCCCTGGGCTCTCCTTCCCAGCAGGCTCCTCCTGCTTCCCCGCTCTGGTTCCTACTGGTTGGTTGTTTAACCAACCTATAAAAAGCAGAAGGACCCATCACCCCTCTGCAGAAACGCTGCTCAACGTTGCTGTTTCCCCGTGCCAGCCTCAGGGTGGCACTGAGCCCCAACGCCACCCATCCTCACGGAGCAGGGCCACGTCCCCAGCACAAAGCAGGGCAGCTCCCACCACATGGATGCATCCTGAGGTCTGTCCGTGTGTCTGTCTGCAGCCACTGCTCCTCTGAGCCTGCTGCCCTCCTGGCCTGGAGGTGCCACAGCTCCTGGCCAAGCCCACGTTACGTCCCAGGGAAAGATGCAGTAGAAACTTTCTGATCCATTTTGATCAATATTTTTCTCCAACTGTTTGGAAGCAGCCAAATGCAGGCAGCGTTTGCTGCTTGCCTTCTTCCCCCTCACCCTCAGCTCTCTGCCTCCAGATAGACAACAAAATCCTCATCTTTTTTACCACTTTTTCATTTTTCCTCCAGTTTCTGCATCGATGTCACGCTGTCCCATTGTGGGGTGGGAAAATGAAATGCTGAGGAGTTCAGAAAGGCCACATCCAGCCCTGACGAGCAGGATCTGTATGTCCCTTCCTTGTGCTAGGCTGGGGACGACTCCAGCCCCAGGGATTGAATCCCCTGTGACCACCCTTCCCTTCTCACACTGCATCCCTGCTTTGGGCACAGCACATGGCTGCAGAGCTGCACACTGGGCTGGAGATGGGGGAAATTTGTCCAGCTTGCTGCACTCAGTGTTTCTGGTGTCACTAGTGATCAAGAAGGACGTAATAGAGCAAAAGACCTGGCGTGCTGTGTGTGCCACCCAGTGCACACCAGGACCAAACCAGCACAGCCAAACCCCACAGCCACCACTGGCTTTTGCTGCTGCACATAGCAAAACATGCCAAAAAACACACCGCTCCCAGGGGCCGCTTTGCAGCTAATTAAGAGAGCAGCTCGGAAGTCTGCACGCTCCGCCGTGGTGCGAGTGACCCCCAAAAGATGCACAGGAAACAGGGGAGTTAATTATAAACCTCTCTGCAGCCAGAAGGTTGGGGCAGCACCACGCTGGCTGCGGGGCCGTGGGTCCTGGAGGGGCACCGGTGATGTTGGGGGCACGGCTCCATGGTGCTGGGGGAAACGGGTTGGGTGCGTGCGAGAGAGCAGGGCCTGAGCTAAAGATACCTGTGTGTGGGAGGCAGTTTGGGGCCGGCGGGACGCCAGGAGCGCAGCAGCTTCTGTTGAAGCGAAGGTGGAGGACGGCAGCGGGCTCCTCTCCCGGCTTGGCACAGGGTGAGAGCCATCGAGGTTGGGTTTGAGGGTCTGAGAGCTCTGCTGGGTTTTGCTGGGAGCCCCCAAAGCCGTTTCCTTTCCCACGTCCCCGTCGCTCCCTCCTGGGGTGATGCTGTCCCTGTGGCACGCCGTGCTGCTCCCTTGCTGCCGTCCTTGGATGTGGCAAAGCGCCGTGCTAATCGCCTGCAGCCGGAGCGCTGCTTATCGCCTTATCACAGCAATTAAAATCCAAAGCATCAGCTCCCCCCTCCCTCCACGGCTTTTAATACCTGCAGGGGGGCAGGAGGAGCTGTGCCGCACTGCGGTGTTTGAACCCCTCACCTCTGGGCAACAGCACATCCCTGCCTCGTGCCAAATATCAGGACCTGCAGGGCCGAGGCGATGCCCCAGGAGGAGCAGAGCTGCCCTAACGAGGAGCTCAAAGAGGCGGCTGATGAAACCACCCCACTAATTGCACGAGGCCACGCCAGCAGCACTGAGGATGGGGATGGGGAGAGGGTGATCAGAAGAGGGTGATCAGCTCACCCTGAGCTTCCTTCCCACCTGCAGTCAAAGCTGGATAGTGGGGGGCTGCAGGAGTGTGGGGACACGGCAGCATCCCAGGGGCCTTTGGTAGCACTCAGTTCCCCGCTGCACTCAACCTTTGTCCCCCCGGCACCTTTGAGCTCGCACTGTGTGGCCTCTCCTCCCCACCGAGGTTTGCGAACCTTTAAAAATAGCCCCTCGGGGTGCAGCCGTGCTGCGCTCGCAGGGATGCGGTGGGCCAAGGCTGGGCTGCGAGCAGAGCCCTGTGGGAACAGCTCGTGTTTCTGCACCCTGATCACATACAGCTGGTGGGACCGAGGTTGGGGTGGGCAGGTGGGAGCTGAGCCCTGCAGGAGATGCGCTGTGCTGTGCTGCAGGTGGGGATGGGGCCGACCATGTGCATCCTTGGGAAACCTCCACGGTGCCACCGGGGAACCGCTGGCTTTTCCTGGCAGAGTTTGTTCCCTATGGGGCCGGGGTGGTCGCGTCACCCCCCTGTACCTTCGCGCCCTGCGTGGGCCTGGGGACATGGGGTGGCAGCGGGGCCGTGGGAACAGCAGCGCAATTTCCTTCCATAAATTAAAATTAGTTTTGATCAGCTAAATATAGCAGCTGAGCAAGATGGTAAATGGCAACGTGCTCGAGAGAAGGAAGCGGGCCGGGCTGGGGAACTGGGGGAGCAAAGGGTTGGTGCTTCCCCTACCCGCACCCTGATCCCTGCAGTGGGGGCTCACGTGGGGACATGAGGACCATCATCCCATGGAGAGTCCCAGCCCCGTGGTCAGCTCTTGTCCTGTGGCCGTGGGTTTGGGGGACACTGGGGACAGCACCGGTGCAGGGCTGCACCCAATTTGGGGTGAGTGCGAGCATCCTGCTGGGAACGCCTTGCTGCCACCCCTGGCACCGAGCGCCCCAGCAGCATCCCAGAGGGGTTTGGGGTGATGGGAGCTGAAGGGCAGCGAGAGGAGCTGCGCCCTCATCCCAGCAGCAGCTCACGTGGCACTGGGAGGTGGGTGGTTTTGCTTTGCTGTCTCCTCGTACAGCCACTTCCTGACCTGTGAACGGCTGAGGTCAAATTTAGTCTGCTCGCATTCAAAAAAAAAAAAACCCCAAAAACACACTATATTGTATTAAAAAAAGAAAACAACAAAAGACACAAAACCCTGCACCTAAAAATGTCCCTTTTGTCTTATGGAGGACCCTCCCTGCAGCCAACCCGGCCTCTTTTGTAACCCCCCTCCCCATCAGCCCCCATCCGCTGGTAAAAACCCCTGTGGGGACGAGCACAGGGCGCAGCTTTGGGATGCTGAGGCTGCTCTGTGCGCCCTGCAGCACTCCAGGGACCGCAGGGAGGTGGCATGGGGCTGCGGGGCCGTGGGGCTGCCATGGGGAGGGGGGCGATGGAGCCGTCTGAGCAGAGCGGAGGGGGCTTTTCTCCTTTATCCCAGCACATTTTTCGGGGAGCACGCAGTGAGTGCTCAGGGCTTCTCTCTGTCTCTTTCAGCCTCTCCTTGAGAAGAGGAAGCAAAAATGGGCCGGAAAAAAATCCAGATCAGCCGAATACTGGATCAACGGAACCGACAGGTGGGGAACGGGAAGGGATGAGGAGCCACGAGGATGGGAAGGGACCTGCGGGTGCTCCGGAGCACGGAGGGGTTTGGGTGCTGGGCGAAAACGGAGCACGATGGGGCTGTGGTGGTGGGTTTGGGGCAGCGCCGTGTCCCCTTCCCCATAGGTGACCTTCACCAAGCGGAAATTCGGGCTGATGAAGAAGGCGTATGAGCTGAGCGTGCTGTGCGACTGCGAGATCGCCCTCATCATCTTCAACAGCACCAACCGCCTCTTCCAGTACGCCAGCACCGACATGGACAAAGTGCTGCTCAAATACACGGAGTACAGCGAACCCCACGAGAGCCGCACCAACTCTGACATCCTCGAGGTAGCGGCGGGGGCTGCGGGGGGGCCGGGCAGGGCGGGGGTCCCGCTCATCACCCCGCTCCCCGCAGACGCTGAAGCGCAAAGGGTTGGGGCTGGAGAGCCACGAGCTGGAGCTGGAAGAGGGGCTGGATCCTGGTGAGAAGCTGCGACAGCTGAACGAGGGCATGGACCTGACGGTGGCACGGCCCCGCTTCTATGTGAGTTGCTGCTGCATCCCAGCACAGGGGTACAGGGTGTGTGTTTCCATCCCTATCCCAGAGCCCAGCCCTCTACTTCACCCCACAGAGCCCGGTGCCGCTGCCCGAGGTTCCCTACGGCAGCTCCCCGCCCAGCAGCAGTGATGGAGCTCTGGGCAGTGCCAGCAGCTCCCCACAGAGCCAGGGCCGCCCTCCCACCTTCAAACCCACAACACCGAAGCCATCGGGACGCTCACCGGGACCGATGCCCCCAGGTGGGTCCACGCTGCAGGGCTGCAGGTTGGTGGCACCGCAGCGAGGACGAGGTCCCGCTGATGGAGTCCTCTCAGGGATTTTCCAGGCCGGATGCCACATGCAAAGCTCCTCTCATAGCATCTCCCAGGGGTTTACCAGGAACGGGGCCGGGGTGGCTGCGTGGGCAGGGAGCGCAGCCCCAGCTGCAGAAATGCCACCGGCTGCTGCCTCGCTCCAGCTGCTTCCTGCACTGCTGAGTCACTGCCACGGGGCACCCAGGTGGCCCCACACGATCTGTACCCTCTGCATCTGAGCTGGGTTCGGGGGGCACTCCGTGTGCCATGGGATGAGTGCTGCCGAATGAGCCCTGGAGCCGGGCGGCAAAAAAACAGCTGGAAAAAATGGTGCTGGGGTTGGAGCAGTGGAAATCCCCCCACTGGGTGGGAGGGGGCACAGGGGTGGCTTTGGCGCTGGGTGGTTTGGCTGCAAGCAGGATGAGCTGTGGTGCTTCAGATGCGGGATGCTCAGCACGGCCGGGGCGGTGGCATTGCCGCAGGATTTCCCTGCGGGGCACTGAGCTCAGCCTGCTCCCCACAGTGGGGTCTGGCCGGGGAGGTTTGCACCCCACTGGTCTCTGGGGCCGGATCCGGCTTCCGCCTTCGTTTCCGCTCGCAGCACGCGGCTGTGGCCACAGCCCAGGTGCAACCAGGGCAGGAAGTGGCTTCGCAGGAGCGCGGCACCGAGCACGCACACATGAGCGCCCACCAGGGACGAGGACACTGAGGCCACCAACCACAACCTCGGGACCCCCGAGGACAAGAGCTCTCAGGGTTTCACCTCCCTGAGTGCCAGCCTCCTGTCCATCTCTCCAGGTATTGGTTACCCCCTGTTCCCTGCTGGCAGCCTGAACCGAGCCTTGGCAACCAAGACCCCACCGCCGCTGTACCTGGGAGCCGATGGGCAGCGCCGGAGTGGCAGCGGTGCAGCAGTGAGTGACACGGGGTGACCCCAGTCCTGTGACACCTGAGGCTGACACGTGGGGACAGTGCTGCTGGGGGAGAACTCAGCCCTAGAGTGGCCTCACAGGTGCAAGACCACAAATCTGCAGCTGTCAGCAGGGTGCTCGGTGCCATTGTCCCCCCTGGGTCCCCTTCCCAGCAGTGGCACAATGGAGGAGGGCAGTGAGGGGTCCCCTGCTTCCACCCACCCTCAGCTCTCTGCAGCCGGACGCTTCCCAGCAAGGCACCCATGCGTGTGGATATTCCCATTCCAAATCCAGAGGGGAGCTCCTCCAATCCGCTCCCTCCTCCTCTTCCTCATCCAACATCAGGGCATTGCTGGGGGGCATGGGAAGGGGTTGTGGATAAAGAGGAGGCATCACAGCTCCCATGGAGGTTTGGAGCACAGTGCCTGACCGGGGGCACCCTTGTGTTCCACAGCGGCCGCTGTACTCTGGTCTGCAGACCTTGAGCCCAGTGCTCGCCTCGGGCAGCGCCGGCATCTCCAGCCACAGCCTTACTGGTTTCCCCTTCCTCACTCCGGCACAAGCAGGTAAGTCCTGACCTCACACCCTTGAATGGTTGGGGGGCTCCAGCCACAGCCTCTCAGCTCCTGCTCGCTTTCCACCCCCTGCTCAGCAGATTTCGGGGCTGGCGAGGCCCCACCTCCTCCTGGCTTCCTGCAGCCTGGCCCTCCAGCTCCATGGCAGCCCCCGCGGGACATGGCAGCGCTGGGGTAAGGACTGCAATCAGGCTGGGGACGGGAGACAGCAGGGGATAGGATCTGGCACGGGGATGAAGGACAAAGTGAATGCAAATTAGGGTTGAACCCAATATTTGGATGCTCAAAGCACAGCCCTGCACCATCCGGCTTCACCCCGAACTGGGGTGCATGGGGATGCCCCTGGGAACCCCCCAACCCGCCACATCCCAGCTGGTCCCAGAGCCTATTTAAAGATGGATTTCCCCCAGGGACCTGGTTCCTGCATCCCCCGCTGTCGCACACCAGGCTCCCAGCAGCAATGCCAGCATGTGAGTGGGTGGCAGCCTGGGAAGAGGGAGCTGGGCTGGGGATGTTCTGCCCCCCTCAGCTGCGCTTGGGGACAAGGAATTGAATGGAGCTGGAACGTGAGATGGGTTGGGTGAATCTCAACCCTTCTTGAGGGGAATGGGGGCACACAAATGGCCTCTTCCTATCCCATGCCCCCAGGAATGCTGCGTGAAGCGAGCTATCCTTACCCTCCCTTCTCCCCCCAGGGCCAGCAGCAGGATCGTCCCCACCGAGGACCTGGCCCCTGGCAGCTCCCCGCAGCCCCACACCATCAGCATCAAGTCAGAGCGGGTGTCCCCAGGTCTCGGCTGCCCTTCAGGCACCCCACAGCCCTCCCCGGGCAGCCTGACCTCCCTGAGCGAAGCCCCCCGAGGCGCTGCAGACCTCCAGCCACGCGATGACTACACCAAGGGCTACCCCTACCCCCTGCCCCCTCCCCGGCCGCTGGTGGAGGAGCAGAGGGCCACTGCCACCATCCCGGTCCCCGCGCGGCGGGTGCAGGCTGAGGATGCGTGGCAGAGATAGCGAGGCTGCGGGGTGCAGGGGAGGCAGCCCCCAGCTTTCAACCCCAACCTCAGACCCCCAAGAAGTCCCCGAGCTCTGGGGCTTCCCAAGGGGTCCCGTCCCCATGCAGCTGCCAGCAGAGCCCCCTCCCCAACCCGGACACCGTTGCATCCCCCTGCAGCTCTGCCCCCAGCCCCTCTCCTGCAGGGCACGGTGAGGCCAAAACCCCCCCAGGAGAGGTGCAACGTCCAGTGCCGGACACTGTGTGACTGTGTCCGTCCTTCTGTCCCTGCGTGTCCCCACCGAGTGGGAGTGCCTGGGAAGTGCCACGGGGTGGCAGCAGGACTGAGAGCAGCAGCAGCACCGATGGCAGCGGGCCCCATCCTGCAACGACCAGGGCGGGGGGAACAGCCGGGGCAGCGGCCCCGGGACTCTTTTTTTTTTTTAATTTATTGCATTCGCACCAATAAAGAGCTGGGGGTGTCGGGGTGCTTGGTGTGAGCTGCTTGGGTTGGGATGTGCAGCCCTGCTCGGTGTGCCTCACGAGGTGGCAGGTCGTTAATGTTCCCAAAGGGAAAGCTCGGCACTTCTGTTTCCTGTGTCCCCTCGCGGCCCAGAGCCACCTCCCCCAGGGTCACCAACGTGCAGATGTGGGAGAAAACCATGTTACCCCACTTTGACCACATCTCTGTGTCCGTGGAGCTGAGCCAGGCGCCCTGGGGGACCCCAAAAAGATGCTGGTGTAATTCTCACGCTGCAGGGAGATGTGGGTGCACAGAGCATTCCCTCTGATGGGAGGAGGGAAAGCCCCTCCTGCACCCCAGCATCGATGGGGACACTTTTTGGTGACACCTGCCCAGCTCAGGGCTGGGTTTTGCTGCTTCCCGTACAGGGGGACATCGTGTGGGCACTGCTGTGTGTTGGATACGGCCATGGCGAGCAGGGGAGAGGGTGAGCACTGCAGGTTTACGAGGGCAGGAGGTGCAGTTCCTCCAGCACTGCTTGGGGACTGCAGCATCGCAGCGGTGCAGGGATGGGGCCTCTCTGCTCAGCAGCACTGAGCTCAGCTCGTGGGGGGATTACAGGGAGCCGAGCCCCGAGATTAAAACACAGCAGGGAGATTAATCCTGGGGAGAGTTTTTCCCGTTTAATAGAGCCCAGCAAGTGGTATAAATACCAGTCCGGATTAGGGGCTGCTGCATCACCAGTGCGGAGCCCCTGCCCCAGGTTGAGCCCAGCTTTGGTTGATGCCTCAGCCAATGGGAATGGGAAGTTGTCACCTCAAATTTGGGGTCCGGGTGGCAGAGGTGACTGCAGCCCAGGTGTCCACAGGGAGTGGGTTTGGTCCCCTCTGTGTCCCCAGGCCAGGAGGGAGATTGCGAATGCAGAGAGGAGCTGAGACACCCGCGGAAAATGTGGGGGCTGGGGTAAGAGACACTGATTGAATAGCAATGACTGCATGATTTATGGTTTGCATTATTGCATGCTTCATTTGAATATATGCTAATAAGGCTTTTCTCCTCGTTTTGTTTGTAAGATTTAGATTTGCTATGGCAACCCGCTGGCATGGAAGGAACGCCAGGAAATGTCAGGGCGAGGTGAGCCCCGGGGAGGGGCTGGGGCTGCTGAGGGGGGGAGGAACCACATCACACCATGGGGACACGGGAACGGCCACGGGACCGGAGGGCAGCGGTGAGAGACTGGGAGCGAGCGGAGCTGCATCCCCCTGCTGCCTGCAGGTCCAGTAATGTCCTATTATGACAGGTCCTAAATGGGGTGGGGGGGGTTTGCCGGGGTGCCGTCAGCCCGCTTTGGTTTTGTGGGGAGGCCTTTCTCACCCTCTGTCCCCACTCTAGCCCCCGTGCCCCTGCCCATCTCCCTTTGCTGCGACCCCCCAGAGCTGTGGGCTGCCACATTGCGCTGAGCCCAAAGATCACACTGAGGAACCTGCAGCGTTTTGGAAGGGGACAATGCTGGGATGGCACTGGGAAGAGACGAAGCATCGCTCTGCATCCCCCACCCACCCATCCTGCGTGGCCTTGATCCTCCAGGATCTGGGCCGCCTTTGTGGCTCTGCATTCCTTCCAAGCTGGGGAGCCACTCCATTAAAACCCTTTACCTGCAGGCCCAGCGTGGCCAAGGGATGTGCTGCTCCAGGAGGGTGCTGTGCTCCAGTTCTGGGGGCTGCAGAGATGGTGAGGCTTTGTCCCCCACCCTGCACTGTCCCATCTCCACCCAGGCAGCAGCTGCAGAGGGGCAGAGCTCCATGTGCCCCAAATCGAGTGGCTGTGGACCTTGCAGCCCCGGGGTCTGTTTGCTGGAGAAGAAGCAGGCTGTCTGGTTTTGGGGTCCCCGTCCCACAGTGGTGTGGGAGCAGCTCCATGGGACTGGATCACAGACCAGAGGGACAGGGGCTGATTCTCTGTCTTCTTTGGTCGTGGTGATACTGGGGGTGGGAGGATCGTCTCCTGTCGGATCCCTACAGCCACGTATGAACACGGAGCAGCGCCAGGAGGGCTCTGGGGCTGAGCACTGTGTGTCCCCGCAGCCACCCGATGGGACAGACCGGAACCCCTGTCCGTTTCACGCCCTTTAATAGAGATGGTTCGAGCCCCGGGCAAGGACGAGGGGCTGGGATCCAGCAGCACGGTGCTGTGCGGCCCCTCCTCGCTTCCCGTCTCAACAAACCGGGGCCGAACTGAGCACCGGGAAGGGAGTTGCTGGCGAGCCCCCTCCTCCCCGCGTCGGTGCATCCTCCCCCGAACACCTTCTCGGTTGTTTTGCACAAACCCTGAAATATTCATGGCACTGCGCCGAGTGTCTCTTAATGAATTTTTCATCAAAACCATATCAGGGAGCCAAAATACACCTCTCCACCACCCCAAACTCCAGCCGAAATCGAGGGGGTACCGGGCCCGCCGGTACCGTGCCGCTGAAGGAGTCGGGCCCGGCCCGAGGGCGGCGGCACCGGGAGCTTTGGGCAGAGCCGCACCGCGCCGTCGGGTCTGGAGGCAGAGACACGGCTTGGGGTCCCCCGACGGGAAGGCCCGGCCCTGCTTCGTGCTGCCCCACATCGGGCCGCCCTGGCCCTCCACGGTCCCGTCCTGAAGGGTCGGGCGGTGGGGAACCGGGACAGCGCACCCCGCCTGGCCGCAGCCCCGCCGGGAGAAATATTCGTTGAGGGGGAAATAGAGAAGCTCAGCGCGTATGGGGGCAGCACGGAGCGGGCCCCGATCCGCACTAGATTTGGGGCTGCACATCCCGACGGGCCCGGCCCCTCTCCCCGCTCGATGCCGTGCGGGTTTTTTTCCCCCCCCAACCCCCGACACCCCCGGGACACCTTTGGGAGCACGGCCCGGCTGGGCGCTGCGCGGAACCGCCGTTGCATGCAGAGATTTTCAAAGCTCTCCGAAAATCCCGATGCGCAGAAGCGGGGTGGCCCTGCGCTTTGGAGCTCTGAGCTGCGGACACCCGATGAAGGGTTTCCTCGAATCTTATTTAACTGTATTTTTTTAATTAAAGATTTGTCGATTTTGCCTTTATTTCCACGGACGGCCGAGTCATCCGGTACCGGCTGCAAAGCGGGGTGCGAGCGCAGCGGGGGCACAGAGCTGACCCTCCCCCGCCCCTCTCCTCCTACTGCTGCAGCTCCTTTTTGGGGAGGGGAGGCAGGATCCCCCCGCGCCCCCTACTCCTGCCCCGGCCCCGCGGGGTTCCCCGAGCTCTCCCGGTCCCGCGGGGCGCGGAGCGGGGCGGGCGTGAGGGGGGGGCGACTCAGCCTCCCTCTGTCCCTACGGGGCCGCATCGGTGGGCTCAGCATCATCGGTACGATTTTTTTACATATATAAAATCCCCGTTATTTTTAGGTTCCGCTCGCAGAGCCGCCCCCCGCGTTCCCAAACCCCGTGCATTCCCACCAGCGCAGGGCTAACCTATCCCGCTCCCGACGTGAGGACGTCATGCCTTACGTAGTAAAATATGGAGAAAGAGGAAAAAAAAAAAAAAAAAAAGGCAGCGCATTTTCCCTCCTCTCTCTCTCTCTCTCTTTAGCTCTCTCCCATCTCCATTTCCAAAAGGGACAAAATGGATGTTGGGGTTGGAATCCTCGCCCCAGGGCCCGGCCGAACTGCTCGGGCTGCCCGGGGCCCGGCACGGTGGAGCCGCGGGCAGACGTCTCTGTTTAACCCCACGTACAGACAACGTGATCGCGGGGGCTCCGCTTCCCGCAGCCCTTCTCCTGGCGGTCCGCTCCGGGAGCCGCAGCTCCGCACCGGCTGGATGTCGCCGGGCTCCGGTTCGCGCCCGCTGCCGGGGCCGCGTCCCCCCCCGTCCCCGCCCCGGAGGTGTCCCGGCGGCGAGCCTGCCGCTAAGTCCTTAAGGATGCGGATGTGCGGAGGGAGGTAAATACCCCCCCACTCCCCTATCGCTCCCTGCCCCGCTGCGAAATCCCCGGGGCGGCCTCAGGGACACGGGAACAAGGGGAACAGGGGGACACGAGACGGGGGGACACGGGGACAGGGCGCTGCGGGACCGAGAGCCGCCCGCCCCCTCCCCGCTTCTCCCAACTTGAAGGAAGTCTGCCAGGGGAACCCCGTGCCCCCCGACCTGGGCCTTTTTTATTATTATTATTTTTATTATTTTTTTCGGGGGGGGTTGGGGTCTTTTTTTTGCTTTTTTTTCCCCCGGCTTAGAGGCTGCGGTCCCGCCAGTCCGGTGTGCGAGAGTCGAGATGGGGGCGAAGGCGCGAGGGGGGGGGGGGGGGACGAGGCGTGGAAAGCTGCCCTCCCTCCGGCTCCCGCAGCGCCGGGAACAATGGCCACGGGCTCCGTGGGGACAATGCCCGGCGGAGCGGAGCTGCTTGGGTTGCAGGACACGTCCACCACCGCCTCGGCCACCCCGGGCCCCGCTCCCCCGGGGCTGTGGGAAAACGCGTGGCTGGTGGGGGGGGTGGCACCAAACTTGGGGAAAGTCCCCCCCCGGGGCCCGCCCCGACCCATCCTGGCTTTTGGGGCCGAGCCCGTCCCGGTTTGTGCCGCCAACACCGCCGAGGGCACCGGCGGGGCTCAACAGGTCGGTACCGGGCAGCCCAGGTGCCCGGCCCTCCGCTCGCTCTCGTCTCCCTTTTTCTCCACCCTCCTCCAACTCCCCCCCCACCACCCCTCCCATCCCCACCCCCCCGCCGGCCTGCCCCCCTCCCCGAGCCCCCCTCATTATTTCTGTTATCACAAGGCAGCCTCCGTGCCCAAACGCCGGCATGTGCGAGGCAAACAGAGCGCGATTGTTCGGAGCCTGGGAACGCGCGGAGGGGGCGCGGAGGGGGCGCGGGGGCCGCCGCCCGCCGCCCCCCGCCCGGGCCGCTCAGACGCGATTGTGATGGAAATCGCCTTCCCGCATGCTGTTGAACTTGATGTTGACTCCTTTTCTTTGGGGCTCCACGTCTCCCCGGCCACTTGTTTGTGGGAAAATTTTCTCTCGGGCTCCAGTGTGAAATTAATTAATCAGGGCCTCGAGATGGCAATGGGACACAAAAGGGGACAGCCGGGGGAAACTCCGGCAAACTCACAAAAGCCACCCGGGGTTTATAGCCCCGGGCTGCCCGGACGGCGCTGCCCTGCCCGCCGCCCGAGGTAAGGGGCTGCCGGAGCGCGGTTGCGACGTCCGCAGCAATTTCGGGGGCTTCGGGGAAGGGCAGTGGGGCCGGGGGGGGTCGGAGCCGCGCCGGGCGGTGGTTGGGGTACCCTGGAGCAGTGCCTGAAGGCGGTCCGCGCTGTGAGCGTAGACGGCGGGGAAACCCCGACCAGAAGGGCCGGGACTGAATCGGGCTTCTATCGGAAGAAGGAAAAACATCCGTACATCTATTTTTTGTTGTTTCCTATCAAAAGAAAAGTAAGCGGGCTGCTGTCGTGCTGAAGCGCCCGGCTCTGACCCAGCGATCACCGCGGGGATTTCCGCGCTCCGTTGTTCCCCGATCGCGGAAATCTCCGCGGCCGCGGGGAAAGCGCTCAGAAGCCGCGTGAGATCCCGCGGTGCTGCGCGTTCCTCCGACGGGCTCAGGAGTGCCGCGAGGATAAACAGAAAATCAGATTTTCTTTCTTTTCTTCTTTCCTTCATTTCTATTTTTTTTTGTTTAAAGCACTTTCCGGAGCGCAATATTATTGCTTTTAGAGAGACAGATCCGTGCAAAGCGTTCCGGGCTTAAGGGAGATATTTCCGCACGGGAGCAGGCCAAAAAGACCAGCGTCAAATAGCCTCGCAGTCTTTGTTGCCACCACATCTTCGGGTGACAGCGGCTGCAGAAGCAAAACCTCTTCGAGCCGCTGTTACATCCGTAGTTCCCGCACACATCGATATCAGCGGCCGATCGGGGAGGGTTGGGCCGGAGCTCCGGGCTCCCCGTTCCTGGGGTCCGTCCCCATCACCCCCCCGGCGGCAGTGCGGCCTCAATTGATCCGCGAAGCGACGTGCGGGGAACGAGTCGTTGTGTTTTTAAATGCAAA